CCTCCTCGTCAGCTTTATCGTCCAGCTTTAGAAGGTACTGCTGTGGTACTTAGAGATGTTGTCATTCAGGATTTTTCATTTGGCTCCCTCCTCTTTCCCTCTCCTGCACTGAAGAGGCTTCTGTGCTTGCTTTTACCAAGTCAAAGGTTTACAACAGCAAGAGAAGAGCCAAACTGGGGAAAAAAAAAGATAATAAAATAAAGTGCTACCTCATGGAGCTTCCTGGAAATAGGAAGTGGTGAAGAAAAGTCACTCATGATTACAGAGGGCACATCACTTATGGTGCAGCAAACTACATATAAGCTATTGAAAACTACATGCTGAGTGTACATAAAAATGAATGCTTGGTCGTACACAAATGTGTAGATGCAGAATCCAAGTACTTAGCAGATGTCTCTTCTCTCCTTACTTAAGAAGAGAAACACTGAACCAGATGTAAGCCAAAACTGTTCCATTCAAATAATCTAATTATTCTGTATTTAACCAGGATATGATCTGATGTTTAATTCTGTGAGAAAAATACGGATTTTATTTAATTGTTAGTTATCCTCTTTGTACTAATTTAACTGTGCCTTTTTGTTTCTGTTATCGTTATTATGCAGCATTTACCTGATAACAGGTCAGCTGATTCAAAATGCTTAAGTTATTGGTAGAGATACGCATCTGTGAGCTTCATCATACTTGTTACAGATTTTATTGTTCTTGGCCTTGCAATACATGTTTATTGTTGGGAGAAAAATCATTACAAGTGCAGAGAAACAGATGGATATTACAATTCAGATACATGGACTTTTGGTTAGTAGATAATGTAATTATAGGGGATATTATCACATAATTATAGGGGATTTTCTACATATTCTGCCTGTGGTCATTCACAAAACTCTCCTGCTTCCACTTTTATTTCAGAAATTGATAGAGACTGGAGTACTACACACATATCACAGCCTGCCTCTGACCATCTGTGAAGCTGTGAAAACATCTTTAGGTATCTTTTTCAAGTGGCTGCTTTTCACAGACTGTAAGCCAACAACACAGCAGCCACAAGAAATGGCTTAGGCATACTTACCTTTAATCCCTGTCCTCACTGTATGGCAGGCACAGGTTGGATATTTGAGATGTTGCCTTTCCACCTGTGCTTTGCATATGCGGACGCAGGCAGTAAATCTGCGTTTCAACTAATTTTTATCTATGGCTCTAGAAGGATGGTTAAAACAATCTCCACATGTCTCTTTGCATCATCCTGAGCCTGAACAATGCAAGTCTGGATAATCAACAGGCACCCTCTATTAGCTGTCAACCACTAATGAGAACCTCCCAATGTGTAATGTGAAATAAATGTAAGCCACCTGTGCAAACTCTGGCTTTGAAGGGCACACATACAAAATGTGTGAGTCAGCCACAGCTCTCACTGGAAATTGCTGAAATTTTGGAAATATCTTCTGAACCTTTTGCATCTCTTGCATGTCTACAAAGTCTCTAAGATGCCTATTGTGTTTTGCTGTGTCTGGTTTTGCCATCCAATAACTCCCTAGAAGACCTTATGGGGTTTCCAATCAATGCCAAAACAACCCAAATAGCCTAGGTGAGATGCAAATAGACTATGCAGCCCAGGCCCACCCAGGCAATCCTTATTTTTCATAGGATATCCTAATAATAACTTTGAAAGTACTTACAATCTCCATGTTTTATCACTTAATGAAACCACTTACATTTTTGTATTCTTCATGAAGCACCAAGTAACAGTTATTTTCCATTTGCCACGTGATGAAATCAGAAGGTACGAGTAAGCTGTTCACCAAACTCCCCCTGGGTTTCAACCATTGTCCCATCCAACCCACCTACACTTCCCTGCTCTCATCTGAGTTCTGCCTTTTTCAAGGATTTCCACATGCAGGTTGTTCCCAGCAGTCCTGAGCCAATGAGGGTCTTCCTGAGGTGTTGCCATGCCTACATGAGATGACTTCAGTTTATGCATGGATTGCCACTTGAGTTTTAATAACCTTGGCATAGAGTAGGACTACAAGCAGTATTTCAAAAGAGCAGCACCCGAATACTCTAGCGGATCTACGGCATGTAGCATCAGGAATTAGACTGGATATGAGGAGAGGGTTCTTCACTGTGAGAGTGGTGGAGCACTGGAACAGGTTGCCCAGGGAGGTGGTTGAGGCCCCATCCCTGGAGATATTCAAGGTGAGGCTCGATGAGGCCCTGGGCAACCTGGTCTTGTTGGCGATGTCCCTGCTGACTGCAGGGAGGTCGGACTAGATGACCTTTGGAGGTCCCTTCCGGCCTGGACAATTCTATGATTCTATGATAGGAATTAGCTGTGACAGAGCTGCATTGTAGCATCTCCATTGTATTTGAATCTTGAAGCAATTACTTAATTTATGGGGGAAATACTGATGTTGAAAGACAGAGACTCAAACAGAAAGGGACAGTTCTGGCTATGAACTTCCTCTCTTTTCTAGGGTGCCCAGTGCATCTTGATTACTCTCCGTGACAACTTTGAAATGTAGTTTGAAGAAATTTCTGTTCATGGGTAAATTGGTGATGATTAATACCTGTATGGTGGACACATCGCCTTCCTTAAAATCAAAACCAAAACGCAATGTCCTTTTCTTTCATCTCCTGATTTCCTTTCAGAAAACATTTGGAACAAGGGACATTTTGATCAGAAGAACTCTCTCCTTTTTAAAATTATCATCTCCACTAGAAGCGCTGAGTTTTACCTCAATCCATCCGCACCAGGTAACCCCATATAAAGGGGGGAAAGAAAAAACAAACCAAAAAATAATCCTCGCCCCTTTTGCTTTGCCACTGACC